AGCAGGACATATAAAATTTCATGGGATGCTGGTAAAGTGGTAATTAGAGGATAATTTTTAGCTCTGGATACATGTATTTTAAAAATCAACCATATATTCAGAGGAGAAAAGCAATGAGAGTTGGAGAGCTCAGAAGAGTGGGAGCTGCAGAACACAAACATCAGCTAAGTAGTCTTCCAAGGGCAGCACTTTGGAATCTGTTGGGACCCCAGTCCCTCATGTGGATTAGATGTGTTGTTTGTGGCCAAGTCACTTAATTTCTCTAAGTCTTATTTATTTAACTGTAAAATGGGGGTAACAATTATCTTCCTCTCTGAGTAGGTTTGAGAATTAGTTGAGATAGTGCACAAAAAGCACCTTTATTATCCCTTCCAACTCCCAGATTCCATGATTCTGACTTTGGCACAATGAAATACACACTTGATTTCCTGCCACAAAAATCTAACCAATAAATTAAACCTTCATTTTCATTTCACCATACTAAGAAAGCTTTGTTTAAAATGCATTTGGAGATAATGTTTTCTTCCCATTATTAAAAAATAAAACTTACAATGATCAACAAAAGCAGACATATTGTTATTCATAATCTTTTCATTTTTCTTTTTTGCTGTGCTAGGGATCAAACCCAGAGAACCAGGCATGTTAGGCAAATGGTCTACCATGGAGGTACATCCCAAGCCCTGAATTCATAATTTGACTTGTATTTTAAAACTAAGATGAAAGAGGAAAAAGACTGACAAGAGTAACACTGTAAAAAAAACCAACTATTTCCAGAATATTCTATATACTATATTCTATACACTATATATATTCTATAGTCTATATACTGTACCTTTCTATATTATCTATAATATTATATCTATTATATGTTTATACAGTGCACCTTTCAGATAAGACAGGAAGTTGATAATGACCACTATTGGTACTTAAACAAATTTGCAATTTCTGACAGATTTATCAACAAGTTCTCTTATCCAAACATAGTTACAGATAGATCTTTACTTTTCTAATTTTTTTCATTTTTCTAGAGAATAAGAATCTTTTTTTCATATTACACAAATAGAGCACAATTTTTCGTGTCTCTGGTTGAACAAAAAGTAGAGTCACACCATTTGTGTTTTCATACATGTACTTAGGGTAATGATGTCCGTCTTATTTCATCGTCTTTCCTACCCCCATGCTCCCTCCCTTCCCCTCCTTCCCTTTGCCCTATCTGAAGTTCATCTATTCCTCCCATGCTCCCCCATCCCCATTATGAATCAGCATCCTTATATCAGAGAAGACAATAAAAATCTTTTAACCTTCAACATCCTAATGCAAAAATAAGCTCTAAATACATTTTTATTTCCTTCTAGATAGATCTGTTATTCAATATACCTCCACTCCCTTCTCTTTAAGTAGAATACAATATACATAATAAATAATACATAATTACAGATGAGAGTTTTCTTCTAATATAAATTTTAGAAGAATTTTTCTTCTAAAATTTTTTATTTTTTCTCTTTTTTCCAGAAGGAGTCACTATACTCTGTTTATAGAACAATCACTTTCCCCAACCCATCTTTATTAAAGAAGAATTTATACATAGGGATTCTTCATTATGCTAATAAAATAACTCTATTGACACATTAAAATCCATTGTAAATTTGGACACCGAAAGCAATCAGATCTTGATCTTCTGCGTCCTCTGGCTTTTGTACAGTTATTGTATTCAGTGCTGCCTACTAAAAGTTTTTCCTTCAATATGGCAGAAACTTTGCTTTTAATCTGAGGATCCAAATGTTGCTATTTGTTAGCAAGTTTCCACTCCTGACCATGGTGCTATGCCCTCTTGTGTGTCTCTTGGACTGTGGGCATTTGCAAAGGAAAAGGAGATGGAACTGAGATTAGGTAGCAACATGCCTTCATTTTTATGCATGGCTTAGCCTGTAACTTTGATTTTCATTTTTTGCTCTGCACCTGGCCAGGATTCTGTATTCTTCTAGATCTCTTTGTAGTTTTCACAAAGGCGTGACTCAAAACACGACATGCTCTGTGGTTATTGCTTCTCATCATTTAAGTTATGGGCAGATGGGTCAGACTGTGTGTCCTTCTATAATTGTGATTTTAGGAAACTGTTCTGGCTGGAGGTGGAAGACAACAAAACTGAAAACATTTTAACATTTTCTAATAAAGGTAAAATTCCAGAAACCTGAAATAACTGTCACTACAGAGCAAATTAAGGGAAAATATATTTTATTCTTGAAGAACTGCCTTAGCTATCTTCCCAGCAAACGGAGAGAATGACTTTATATTTGTTCAATTGCCTACTCTCTACAATGAGACTGTGAGTCCATAAGGACAGGAACCATGCCCACTTTCTTCAGTGCATAATTCACTTATAACTTATACAGTTCCCTGGCATTACCTTGAATCTCTAAAAAAAAGTATTGCTAAAATAATGAATACATAGCATATCAAGTGCTACAATTTTCTGTAATGATAAATTCAAATAAATAGGATATAAAGTTTACTCAAAGTTTTAACATCTTTATAGCCCTCTCTTTAATTTCACAGGAAATGTACATATCTTCAATTTTCAGGGGGAGAAAAACAAACATTTCTCATGCCTGTTATACATCAAGCACCCAGGCACCGTATTAGATTCAAGGCTGTGAAGAAACTCAAACATCATCCCACAATCAAATTTTTAACATGTAAATAGATTTATTCCTGTCTCTACTGTTTTCTCTATAACTTTGGGAATTTTTTTTAACTTTCATGCACAGAACTAAAGACCAAAATTGATTCAGTAAGAATTTAATTTTACTTATACAATTAGCCCTCTCTTATGAGAAACCTTTATGGAACAAAGTTTTCTACTTTGGAATTTTCCAATACCATTTTGTTTTGTAGTTTTTTTTCCTTTCCCTGGCAATGGAACCCAGGGCCTCACGCATGCTAGGCAAGTGCTCTACCATCAACACAAACTTTTTTAAAAATTTCAATCCTTTTTAATAAAAATATTTTAAACATAGTATTTGTATCTTAGCCAAAATATCTAGAACATAAATCTATCTTTTTGGATAACATTGATAAGGACAACAGAGTTGTTAAGAACGGAGCTTCCAGAACTAAACCACCTAAGTATAAATCCTGGCACTACTACTTACCAGTTGTGTGATCTTAGCTAACTTTCCTAAGTCTCAGTTTCCTTATCTGGAAAATGAGGATAATCCTAATATCTAGCTCTTGGGGCTGTTCTAAGAATGAACATTTGTATGAAATGAACAGGTGCAAGACACATAGTCAGTACTCAGTAAATGCTAGCTTTAAAAGTTTTAATTTATTCAGGTCCTGAGCTCTCAGCAGGGAGTTCTGGCCACTGCTCTCTATAATATAAAGTAGCCCCAGACTGTTATTTTTTTAAAATGCCTGTATAAGTTTTACTTAAAGATTTTTTTCTATGTAACTTTTAAATTATTTTCCTGATTTTTACCTTATGTCCTTTGTTAATTGGTGCCTTTACATTACTCCCTCTTCTATTTTGAAGCTTTATTCTATTGTGTGCTGAGAAACCAAACCACTGTGGTGGTTAGAAATTTGTAAGAGGATTCCCCCAGTGAAGGCCTCAGGGACTCTCCCATGAATAAAATGCATAAATGTTAAATGAAACTCAGTGGCATTTATTTCCACTTAGAGGTCTTTCTGGCTGACTTATTGTATTCTCACCTGTGTTTGGGAAAGTTAGAAATACCAAATAAGTGACCTATGGATTAATGAAGCACTATTGTTCTAATTCTGCCAAGCATTAGATTAATCAAAACCAAAGAAGCGTTGGTTTCTTCATGTTTTGCACTGTTAATTTTCTACAATTATTAATCAGCTACCTAGATAATTATTAAGCTTTCAATTCAAACAATGTTTTTTAGTGTAATTCCTGGACCAATATCGATCTACTATTAGGAAAGTATGGCTCTTCAAAAGGGCTAAATGCAATAGCAAATAATGGATAAAGTAAAAAGAGAGAGGAAATGGGAATTATAAACTCATGAAATTTAAAAGAAAAAGAAATGGATAGATCACAGATTAATAAAGAGAATAATAATAAGGAATAGTTTGCCAACTTTATTTCTCATCTCTAAAAGAATCAGTTTCTAATTTAATATTCAGTTTAGTAGCAACTTTACCTTTTCCCCCACCGGAAAAGTACAAGTAGAATTCAAATAAGAAAACCACGTACAGCCATGATGATCAAACCTTCTGCTCAAGTGGCCAGATGCCAGAAGAGGCACAGCAATCTCCCACCCTTGGGAAATCTGAGCCTGAGCCAGAAACTGGCAACCTCCAGGCCAAAATCTGTATATTTGTATATCTTTTTAAAAATGCATGTCTATTTTGCATTTCACCTTTATATACTGTTGTATTTTTAAATTTTAAAAAATGTTTATAACAGTTGAATACCTCCCATTCTCAAAAATTCAAGTAAAATTGATGCTTCAGGAAGATTTGCATTATAGCTCTTGTGGCTTTCCCTTCCCCTTGATACTACGATGGTCAGGGGCATGGGAACACCAGTGAGATGATACCTTATACTATAATGGACTCAAGATTCTCAAATGATAGACAATAAATTAATAATCAAATTATCATTAAATGAAAGCTCCATTCTCATGCACCTCAATGAAGCTAAGAAATCCAAAAGAATAGTAAGTTGGGCCCTGCAATCTTAAAATGCCCTCGTAGCTTTTGAGCTACCATTATTATAAAAAGATCAATAATGATGTCTTCCTGCTCCACTATGGAATTAGTGTTTCCCTAAATACATTAACTTCAGGAGTATTGAATTACCCAGGAGGATCAGCACCACAATGAAACAAATAGTTGTTCTTTGCAAATCGGTGATTACCAATACAGAGAGCCCACTGAAGGATGCTGGATAGAAAATGACATAAAGCAAAGACCGCAGGACAAAAGGTAACCAAGTCTGGTCACCCCAAATTCAGAAAGATGAAACTCACCCTCATCGTGATAATCTGAAGAAAAGGGTGTATCTGATGTGAGAGACAGGCCATGAGTCCCACTGTGATTATCATCAGAGCTGTCCTGTCCAAGGTCTCCTGAGGGACAAAGAAGAAAACAAGGTCATCTTTTGGACATATTTATAAAGGTGTTTGTAGATCTCTCTTCTGGTACTTATAAAAATGATGCATCTTTTACTTGATGAACATGGCCACTCTCCCCTAACATATGAGAAATAGATAAATAATTTCAAGAACCAACTTACCTGGATGGGAAATTTTCCACTCAAGTAATTCCCTCAATAGAACTAAGGAATTATTAGCTCAGAGTGGGAAGACTTCTTGCCACCAGAGAGAATTTCTCCATCACACTTAAAATGAAAACAGAGCTGTATAAATTAGTATATTTATATACTCTGCCTCTGTTAATCAGAACCTTTATCTGATGGCCTTTTTCTCTTTCTATTTCCAAATGAAATAGAAGTAATGACACAAAGGGTTAACCTCCTATATAATGTAGCAAAGTCAATATTCTTTCCTTCTCTGAAAAATAAGAGACCTAAGTAAGCTCAGAGAGAGCCTAGACTTTGCTGGATTCTATTCCTATTTAAATCACTACTTGTTTTGCAACCTTAATAAAGTTCTCTCTATGTAATTCTAGTTTACAGCCTATGCAACCAACCTCTTAGGAATTCTAAAAGCCCTAAGAAGGTAATATTTGTTCTGCAAAATGACTTTGATAAAAGGTAATGTATATACAATACTGAATTATGCAATTAAAACAATGCTAATCCCTTTTGGGTGTTTTCAACCTACATTGAATTGTATTTTGTAGAAGTGGCCGATGCCATTATGATACTTTAAAAGGTTCAGACGGAAGATGTTAGCTCATTCAGAAACCGGAAGAAAAGGAAAGCGTTGCAAATGGCTTTCCTTAAAATCCCCCAAACAGAGGTACAGTCTGCTGATAAAAGGACACCGACAGCTGCTTAGTTCATTTCACAAGCATGAAAAAAGGATTTTAAACCGAATTTAATATTATCTCAAATACTAATTTCCAAAGGAAATCACCAATGCTAATCTCAGTAAACATTGTAGAGTTCTGGCCCTGGATTTCAACTAGGGAGCAGTGAAACCAAACAACCTACATAGAATCTGTATTGCCTCGCTTTAAAGGTTTATTTCCTACAATTAAACTAGAAGGATAGGGAGGACATAAAATGATGGAAAAAAAAAAAAAGAAAGCTGAAGCTTCCTCCTTCCTTAAATTAGATGATTATACCTACACTTTCCCTCGAATGCTCAGTGGTAGGTAGATATCCATAACTGAGTTGAACACCTGCAGATAGAGGACTTTAAAAATAAACTGTAGAGTCTATTGTAAAAAAAAAAAAAAATTAACCCCACACTACAGTCATTAGCTGAAGCCAGAAGAGATACTCACTTTTATTTGTTCACTGACCAGAACATAAAACATACAGTTAGGCTTAAAGTATCACTGTAAGGTTGCTATAATAACTGAGAAAAATCCCAAATGCCAGACAGAGGGTAAAATGCTCAAATTTTATATCACTGCAAATCCACTGAAATCTAATTATCAGTATGACTCTCTGACTGGAAACCTGAAGGTGAGATGCAAGGGTAGAAAGAATTTTTGTTTTGAACCTAATCAAAATCCTTTAAAAAAAAAAGTAGTTTAGATTGCCAAGAAAAATTTGACATTTGTAATATATATGAAACATTATTTATTAACTATCATTCTGGACTCAGTTTTTTTTCCAGGAATCTGACAAATCTACCAATAAAGAAAAAGAATCTATGCTTACACATTCTGGCATTTATTCTAAGTTTTTTTTTTTTTTAAATGAAGACCAGGAAGGGCTTTTGTTGTTTCATTGTGTTCTGTTTTCTAATGAAGTTTTTATTTTGGAATAAATTTTGATTTATGTAAGTGTTGCAAAGATAGTACAAAGAGTTCCCATATACTCTTCAACTTGTTCCCCATAAACTCATCTCCTTCCACAACTAAAGTATATCTATCAAAACCAAGAAGTTAACGTTGCTACATTGCTGTTAACTAAATTATAGGCTTTGTTTTCATTTTGTAAGTTCTTCCATTCATGTCCTTTTTATATATCAGATCAAATTCAGGATATCACACTGCATTTATAGTTCACTTTAAAAAAAAGAAAAGTCTCACCCAAAACACCTGCCTGGATTTGGCACTTGATTTATTAACTTCAGATGGAAAAATCACTGCCACGTGATTCCTATGGTTTTTGAGTACAGTTATCCAAGATGGACCTGTGTGCCAAATGCCAGACTGTGCCCCTATAAAGTATGTGACGAGTAAGGAATACAACTCCAGGTAGCGAAACAGAGCCTAGGTCAGTACTACAGATGGTTGTGGTGGGAGAAACATTTTAAAATATGCCTTACACCCAAGCACAATTAGTTCCTGATGATGAAGATGTTGTTATAAGTGCTTTTAGTGTCATATCAAGTGGCCCAACTCCCTTGGGCTCACACAGCAACTAGTCTATAACACAGTATAAATAGACACTCCCATGTAATTAAAATGATTACAACTACTCAAGATGCATGGGTGAAAAGTTTTATAGAAGAACTGGCAATTACTGTGGTCATTTTGGATTTGCTTAAGTTTAAAGTATCATTTTTCCTTAAAATATAACCGTGCATGTTCTCTGAATTCATCTGTACCTCTGACAATCACAGTTCCAAGTGGCCACGACTGTAGTCCGGTGGGATCAGACATAAATGATCACAAACTATAGTGACAGACATTTCCACTCAGCAGCTCTACAATTAGGGCTTCGAACTCCATCTGCTTAGAGTGCCTCTCTCACAAGCAAGACCCTCTGCCACTGGAGACACACTTCCACGGCAACTCACTCAGAATCAATATATTTCTATACAGATATATATTCTAACACACCGTATCTCCATTAATCACATCCACTACCTTCAGCCTTTCTCTTTGTATTTCTAAACAAGATCCGAGGAAACTATATCAAGGGTTCACCTGCTATTAGCTGGTAATTTGTTCCTCTATCCAAAGTGTCATAAGAATTGGGCGCTAGATACACTCCTTAGTAGATTCAATGGCAGGTTCTCCACTGAGTAGTGCTGAGGGGCCCATAAGGGGGATGATTTCTCTATTGTTCTTTTCTGGGAGTCAAACTCAATTTCATTCATGCTCCGTAGAGTGATAAGTTGGGAATTTCTGAGGGTTGGAGCAGAAAGATAAAACAGCTTTGTGTCAGGTGTAAGGTAATTATTTGCCAGGGTTTCTGTGCTATTTGTTTTTATTCCCTGTGTTTTCATTAACAGTTAATGAGTTTTCCCCCTTAATTCTGAAACAATAGCGTGGCCACTAGAAGTTGGCTTTTTCTGCCATGGATTCAACCAGCTGTTGCTGCTCCATAAACTTTATGGAGAAGTGAATTAAACTGCTAAAAACTTTCATTTACTAATTCAATTCCAAATAAAACAAGGGAAAAATGAACCATAATGTGAGTATTCTGACTCAAAGCAAACCCATCTACTCCTGAACTTGCAGGTACTACTTAGGGACAGAAACAGGGCATAATGACAAGTGTACCAAAGAAATGGGAAAAAAAAAAGAAAGAAGTTTAAGCATTTAAAAACTACAACAGAATATAAGAACAAAAATAACAGATAAGACATACAAATACGTTTGCTTATTTTATATGTAAAGCAATTTTTTAATGTTGGTATAAGCCATCACTTTTATTTCTCTTCTAATTAATTGTTAGCTATGTTATAAAGACTCTATTCATACCTGCAACTATTTTTATGGTATGGTTAGAAACTTTCCAGGGTTTGCTATTACTTCACCACATCTCATTAGATAATATAAGGAAAATGAAATTAATATAATTAGTTAATTTGTAATCTTACAATTAATATAAAATTGTCTGAACATTTTTCTACTTTTTATTTTATTTTTTATTATTTTTACTGCGGTTGGAAGGGAACATGAGACTTTCTACTCTAATATTTAAGAATCCATGAGACACAGAGCTTCCTCTTTAAACTAATAAATCCTCACTAAATTCCATAAATAAAACTCCCTGATCCAAATCCAGTTAGTTTTCATGCTTGATAGCATTAATACTGCTAGATTTTCATGGACCAATTTAATAGTAATGCAGTTCTCAAAGCTGAACTGTAGTAAGATTAGCAAAATGACAGCGTATTATTCTTTATTATAACCATTTGTCTAAGTTTTTGAATCTAATCCCAAATAAAGAAACATGTAGGTACACACATGGCCATATATGTAAAATGTTACTTACATGTAAATACATCATAGAGCACATGTGCAACACCAAAGCTAAAGTTCTGTCAATACTTCCTTTATAAATTACACACCATTTTTGCACATACTCATGCACTAGAAAATGTATGGTGTTTCTCACAGAACATCTCAGAGGCTTCAATGATTTCTAAATATCCACTTGGATGTGCGTGGTTAGTTCTTGTGATTAATCCATGTATAGTGAAGGTCTCAAATTTTTCTCTGTTCTATGCAGTCTTTCTGCCCATATTCCCCTCCTTCTAAAGCTATCCATAACTCAATGTTTAAATATTCTCTTTTTTTTCCTCAAGGCCCTAGCAGTAAGTGTAATAGTGCTGAATGTCATTAACCCTACAGAACAAATGATAGGACAGGTAAAGAAAGTTTTCATTTATCATTTTTTAAAAAGTTGCTCCAATTAGATCTTGAATGTAATCTTGTGCCTAAGATTAACTATGCTAGCTTATGACACTGTTTACTGATTATACAATTATACTAAGGATAACAGACTTCTTAAGAACCTTCAGAGATAACATTTTCAGAGAATGGTACAGTCTAAACGATCAGAAACTGAACCAAACTGACAGACACTCAAAGTACAATCACTACAACAGAACCTGTGATTCTAACAACCAAAAACTATGTAGCCATAGCTTAATAATATTCTCATATGGACTACATCTGTCAGTGTTGGATTGGAGAGGAAATCACCCGCGGGAGTCCATTGAAAAGCACCCCCTTCCAAGAAAATGGTCTT